TTTGAAGTAATGGATCTAAAGCCCGGCGCAGACGCTACGTTTTGCACAACATTTTGTCTGCACAGTTCAACACGTTGCAGAGAAAACATCGCGTGAAGACGGTAGCACCGTTTTCGCATTCATTTTGTTCCTCAGTTTCAATTTGTCAGGCGACAATGGCTGACCTTCGGCAATGTTCTCATGAGTTTCTCACAAAATTGATTGCATTATACGACAGTATGCATTTGGCCTGTCAAATCCAAGGAGTATAGTGGCAGGGATAAAAAAGGGGACACTTATGAGAGTCTAGTGGAAAAATTGATGCAACTGCAAACACGCGACTACTGAATGCCGGGTACTTCTGAGACGTTTCAATCTTTTTAACGAGACACCATGCCAAAATTGGTCAGAATACCTCTTCCATGACGATATCACACAAAACAGCGAAATATACAGATATCTCTGCACCATGTAGATGCTGTAAAAATTGCTACCTTTTCATTCCGTCCTAAGACTGCGCAGACAAAACTTAACAAAACGTAGCGTCTGGACTGGCCTTAATGAGTATGACCGATTTCTAGTAAACTGTTAGTTAAACTACAGTAAAATCATGTGATTTTTGTGAGATGGGCCTGAATTCTCATATTAAATGATAAAATACTTCATGGTTTAGCTACAGGGTGCGGCAGCATAATTTCCTTTTTCCAAAACTTAATAAAACCCATTGTAAGAATCAGAAACATTTTTATTTGTTTTTTATAATTTATGCACAAATCTTTGATTTACATGGTTTTGAAGATCAAATCAGACAGGGTTGTTATGTTTTAATCAAAATGTTTAAAACAATGAAGGTGTTTTAAACCAATTTGTTTTAATACTGTTTTAAACACTGTTTTTTGTCGTTTGTGAATTATTCAAGTTTTTTTTTATATTTTTTAAGTTTGATTAAAATTGTTGATTTTGCAAAACGAAACTAAAAGGGCCATAGGTACTAAAAAATATACTTTATTTTTTATTAATTAATCAAACATGAAACTAGGGAACCTTTTTCACAATCCTCCAAGCTACTCAACTTTAAGAAAATAGGTTCGGTAGAAACATCATCATTGTCGGTATCAGAACTATCTGATATACATGTTATGAATATTTTGTTTTTCTAACAAACTTCCTTGTTTAAGTTGTTTACAATTTTTAATATGCTTGCGATTCTAACCACCAGTGGCACTATATCCATATTGCAGGTTAAACATTTTGCTCTTTCATTTATTTTCGAGCCAGCTTTGGCATCAGTCTCCTTAAAAATTTCCCATAGAAAAAATCGCAACGGAGCAAATCGAGAGAGCGGGTCGGCCACTACAAATCGCCCTTAATTGAGATGAAGCGCGCTGGGATGTCTTCCCTCAAAACAGCCATCGATGCTCTTGAAGTGTGTGCCGTTGCACCATCCTGTTTGACCCAAATGTTCCTTCCGATGTCCAACTCATCTAGCCGTGAAAAAACGTTCCTGTAACATGTTTACATACCGGTCCTAATTCATTGTCACTGTGACTTCATTTTCTTCAAAGAAGCAGGGACCAATAATTCCACACCATGCTGTCATTTTAGGTGAATGCAAAGGTATTTGATGCAAGTCTCGAGGATTAGTGTCAGCCCAGTAGCGCATGTTTTGTTTTTTTTTTCGTTTGTCGATAGATCCACGCAAATGAAAATGCGTCCTCAGGAAAGACTTCGAGAAGACGCTCACACGCGTTCATCTGAGAATTGAAGCCACGTTCAGAAATTTCCCATCTTGTAACTGCCTGGCCGCAGGACATTCGCCATAGCGAATATTCGCGCAGCAGCGAATGGCGAAATATACCGAGCGAACCGCGCGGGCGACTGGCGGCGCGGCGGCTGAGTGAAACAAAGGCATGAATCAGTAATCAGTACAGCGCCAGCCACGAAGTCGTGCGACAGTCGCGAAAACTGCTGTGATCAAACGAGCTTAGTTGTTTTCGCCGCGAGGCTTTTATTACTGAAATACTTGTTGGGCCAGCTATTTGGAAGTCTGACCACCCACAATACTCAAATAAATCACATAATTATTGTAAAGTATTTTAATTTCGTGAAATACAGCAGACGCTCGATAAGGTAAACACGGGATAATGAAAACTTGCGCTAATGTAAACATAAACTTCGTTCTATGGGATCAAACGGAACGCGCGATAACGTAAACAATGTGTACGCTCGATAACGTAAAAAACTGTCGGCGGACGGAAAAATGCTGAAGCCTCGAAGATTTATGTCGGGCGTCGGGGAGTCCCCGATTTATGATGTGGAGTGTAGGGGATTCACCTCTGCGATAAAATACGACAAACTCGGTCAGTCGTATGATCGTTTAGGATACGTTTATACGTACGTATGTATTTCATTTTTGAACTTAAGTGAATACATTGCACGCGTTACTATATTTTACGACTATGGCATCCACATCCTATAAAAGAAAGTGTTTGAAGTTGAGTGAGAAAGTGAAAATCATAGACGAAGTTGCACTAGGTGCGGGAGTGACACAGTCAGCAAAAAAATATGGAGTATCGAAAGCATCAATCAGTAAAATTAAGCGTATGAAAACTCAAATTTTACAAAGAACGTGCAATACATTTGGAGGTCCGGGAAAAAGAAAAACTTTAAAAAATGCGAAGGCACCTAAAATGGAAAATTCCCTGTATAAGTGATTTTTAAAACAACGGGAAAATCATGTCCCAGTTAGTGGCGAAGTACTTAAACAGAGAGCGAGACTGTTAAATGAAAAACTGAAAGAAACTGAAAATTTCGTAGCTAGTGATGGCTGGCTACAACGATTCAAAACAAGATATGGAATTCGACTGCTGTCTATACCTGGTGAAAAATTATCAGCACAACCACAATTAGTGCAACCATTCAAAGAAAAATTGATGAAAACAATTACCGAGCTAGATTTAAGAATGGAACAAATTTACAACGCAGATGAAAGTGGCCTTTATTGGAAAATGTTACCAGAGAAAACCTATGCTGCATCATTTGAAAAATCTGCCCCGGGAAGAAAGGCGGAGAAACAACGAATAACGTTTCTAGCCTGCACTAATGCTAATGGTTCACACAAAATAAAGCTACTGGTAATTTTGAAAGCAAAAAATCCGCGCTCATTTAAAAATGTTAATATCCCTGTTGATTATGACTGTTCAAAAACCGCTTGGATGACTAGCAGTATATTCCTGAAATGGTTCCACAGGTGCTTTGTCCCTCAGGTATGACAATCAATTATCACAAATGCTCTATTCATAATTTGAAGATGTGTTTTCAGTTTGTAGGTAAAAGGTTTCCTAAAACAACAGAAGCTTTCAATAAAAGCGTTGTTACTATTGGATAATGCACCAAGTCATCCTCCCGAGCAACAACCGAGGAGCAGGGATGGGTCAATTTTCGTCATGTACATGCCGCTCAACGTAACACCGTTAATTCAACCGATGGACCAGAATATAATAAGACTCACCAAACTATACTATAGGAAGTTTCTACTTTTGTCTGTCTTATCAAAGAATCCTGAAAACTTATCTGAGGCTTTAAAAAAAGTAACATTACGAGAAGCTGTTTTGGATTTACATATGGCCTGGAATGAACTTAACCAGCAAACTATTCAAAAATGTTGGAACAATCTCTTTTGTACCAATAATGAAGATGATGAAGAAGACGATGTCCCCTTAAGCGTAATTAGAGAACGTTTGCGATTCAATAATGATAATGTTATTAGTGTGTCATTGGATGTTGTTGATTTATTGAAAACAGTGAATCCCAACATTGTTTGTACTCCTGCTGATATTAATTTATGGAACGAAGATAAGCAGACGAATGATGCTGATATGGACAGTGAGGATGATGAGAACGATCCCATTGAAGTCAGAAGTGTAGTGACTGACGCGCAAGCTATACATGTTTTTAACCAAGCTTTAGATTGGGCTGAAAGAAAAGAAGTTTCATACACGGATATTTTAGTTCTTATTATTTTTCTTCTAATTAAAAAAAAAACTTATCGCTGTTAGAATATTTGTTTATTTTGTTATAAATAGTATGTATTACACGTTTCTTTTAATAAATTAAATATTGTATAAATCACGTTCGCTAATGTAAACATTTCGATAATGTGAACCACACTTGGATTAAATTAGTTCACATTATCGAGCGTCTGCTGTATTAATATACAAAAAATTTTGTTACGAAAAAATTCCGTTTGCTTTTTGGGGAAAGTTGTTCATATTGATCGGTACTATCATTTCCAAAAATATGCTCAGCTAATTAAATTTCATCCTTTATACAGATAGTTACATACCTTAATATGAAAAACAATTTTTCAGCGGCACTTAAAATTCTATCTGCATTGACTTTTTTTCAATTCTGGTTGAATATTAGAATGTAATCGAAGGTTTTGATACTGATTCTGGTATACTCGAAAAAAATTCCTGGATACATTCTGTATTTCTCGTACTTCTTGTGGAATTCTCCATCTCTACCCTGATGCCTGTTCAAATCATATATCGAGATAACGTTGATAAAGACATTTCTCTCTCGGCCTATACTGGTCGCGGCGGCGAACGTGACTGCCGGTGGCCGGCAAATTGTGCCGCGCGGATGGTCGCCCCGCGCCCCGCATCGTCGTTCGCGTCGCCCATCACGGTGGCCAAACCGTAAGGATGGAAATGAAGATCATCATGAAGAATCCTCCTCACAGAACAATCGGAGAGTCCAAGAGCAGACGCATAATTGCGCGCAGAACGCCGTGGTGATCGCAACATTGAAACTTAATAATAAATTGTTTTAGATCACAGATAAAAATAAATGAAAGAATTCGGCAGTATTCTGAATTGTCATAATTTTTTTGTAGATACAATGTGGCAAGGTAGCATTTTTTGGTAATAAGCATTATTTTTTTGTGTGTTGCATATGCATACATGTTATTGAATTAATTTAAACAAAAAGCAGTTTTTAACTATGATACTTTTTTGTAGGATGACAAGATAGATTCCGAGGTGAAAGCTTTGTTAGGAAAATACAATAGCTATAGATAGTTTAAGGTACAACTTATTTATTAGTGTACTAATTGTTGGGTACTATTTTATGATGTGTTTTATAAAGTATATTCAGATAAGAGATAGACCGGACATAAACAAGGCCACGTGATCATCGAACGCTGTAACATTCGGCAGGGACGTATTAAGAGTCACGCAGTACATATTTTAGATAGTAGATGCTGCTTTGCGTAACTTTGTAGTAAATTAGCACAATTCGATGTGTATACGATTGGTGATGGATATAGGATCATGTGGGGGTGGGGTAAGAAATATATAATGATGTAAATATACATAAGGGTTTCAAAATTTTCGCTTCGATTTCCAGCTTCGGATGCCGCCTGATGTTCGGTGAAATACAGTCGAATATAATCTCAAAATGGCGTTTAAATTAGCCTAAATTAAAAATAATCGTATATCTCTTAAAATTGCTTTTAGAATATTGATTAGTATATTTTTTGATTTCTAGGTAAATATGTAACCAAATTAAAACGTTCAAAACGTAAAAAAATGTGCATGGTTGAACATTGTCAGAAAGTAGATTCTTGAATAGGTTGTGCCAAAATGGGTTAAAAAATGTCAATAATTAATTAAAAAATACAGTAGCTTTATAATTACTTATAACTTACCGAATTTGATGAACGACATCTTTTATTGGAAAGATGAGCTTGATGAGCTTTCATCATCGCTACTGCCTGAAGCACCAATGTCAATAATGAATGGCTCGACTTGTTCCTCTAAAATATTGTCCAGTTCCCACATTGTCTTTTCAACTTTGTCTTTCACGTGCTTAATACAGTTTTCCCATTTTTGCGCTGTTATTAATTCTAGTGCTTCTTTGAAAAGTCCTTTGAGGTCACAAAATTTAAAAGTTGTATTGTGCTTAGCTATATAATTTTTAACCTCTGCCCATATGAGCTCAATGGGATTGAGCTCGCAATGGTATGGAGGTAAACGGAGCACAGTTTTATTTCGACTTGCTGCCATTTCGTCAATGGCGTATTTTTGATATTCCGCCTTGTGATCCTTTACAATTCTTAATAATTGTACTTTCAGCATTGCTTCTTCAAAGTTGATATTTTTCGAGCGGAGCCAATTTTGAACATCAACTTTCCTTGAAGCCGTTGTTGGGACCTTCTCCATTCTTCGAGAATGATAAGCATTATCCAACACAATTACTGCGTTTTCCTCTAAGTTCGGTAAAATTTTTGAAAACCACTGTTCAAACGATTCGCCATTCATTTCCTCGTGGTAATCTCCAGTTTTCTTAGACTCAAAGCACCACAGACCGTCAACAACAAATCCATCCTCACTGCCAATATGGCAGATAATGAGCCTTTTCCCTTTACCTGGAAATCGAAGTACTAACTGGTGTAGATTTATTTCAATAAGCGCACCTTTTTCAAATGTTTTCATCACATTCAGCGAAAAAACATTGAGACATGAGTATCAGATTGCTATAATTGGGATTATTTAGTCATATTGAAAGAAAGAATATTGAACGTCGTATGATTACTCAGCGCTTCACAATTTAATTTAAAGTTATAAACCTTTAAAAAATGAATGATCAGGAACCTGAAATACGCGCATATATTAATATTAACAAATTATAACTTTATAAACCTTAAAGTATGAATTAAAATGATTAGAAATATTAGGAACGGTACACAATATAAAACTTAGTAACTTTTTTTAAGTTTATAATATTCGACATATTTTAAGATTATATTAAAAAATTATTGAAATATCGAAAACACATAAAAACATGGCTTAAAAAAGTTCTAACAAATGAAAATGACAATAAAACATCCACGCATTTTATCGAAAGTTATAAAAGTTTTGTTACTTGTAATATGTTTTATCTGCCCCCTGGAATTAATGTTTAGAACCTTGTTCCCAAGGTTTGAAAAACATCCGATTGTTGTCTATTACTCGTATTTACCTGCTGGATTTTTTAATCCGGTGGACAGTCCATCTAGAAAGGCCCTCCTGGATGAAGTTACAGAATCATCAACCCATACTTTACTTGTAGTGTGTCCTGCGTTTACCCACGTTTCATCAAGGTAATAAATCTTCCTGTTTTTATTTCTATATTTCCCAATTTTTGTTAAATAATCCCTCCTCCATAGCACAATTTCTTCTCTATCCAGTAGTAAACTATTACGTCCCCGTTTTTTCCATTTGAAATTTAAATGCTTCAGTAACGCATGGAAAGTTGATCGTTTGAAATTTGGCAACGTTGTATCTCCATTTACCTCCTGCAGTACTTTATCTATAGTAGGTATTTCATTCCTAAAGAAGAATTCATGCACTTTCCTCCTAATCGCATGCTTATCAGCTTCATCCAATGATTTAACAATACTTTTGCGATGTTTACTGGTCATTGGCGCAGAAAAGGTGTGATTTTTTTGTATTGTCTTAACACATTAAACACTGATGCGCGACACACCCCAACTTTGTGAGAAACCTTCACAACAATTTCTTTGATGGTTGATGCCTCGTTCTCCTCGCGCTCGAACTTATATATATATTCAAAATGACCTCTTTCATTTCTGCACTCAGGTGTCTTTTTTTGGAGCGTTTCCTAGGTGGACTACAGGAGCTTACAACTTCATCGGCAGTGTCTGTACTACTGGGCATTTTGCGCAAGCAGTTGATAACATTAACAATCAATAACAAGGTATAACAATAACAACGACAAACTCAACAACTTAATAAGATAACAAACGAAAACGTCCAAAGAAATTTCAAATTGCAATAATGCACACGACATACGTAACACGTCTGAACCTGAATGTGACTCTGCCTTGATACGACTGCTCTGCCGCTCGGCATAGGCATTTAATTGCGAATTGACCAATGAGGGCTCCTGTTTTACGTCGAGACGGCGGCGTTAGCGTGAAAATCACCCGAACCTTTTGTTTACATCCGGTCTATCTCTTATCTGAATATGCTGTAGATATATTTATTTTCTTACTTAGCCCCACTTTTTATATTTATGACACTTGCTGTTATTACTATATTTTTGTCTGGTGTTTTAACGGTGTTATATTTACAATTGTGGTTGAAATGAGAATATGTTTCTAGCATGTGTTGTTTTTTTAACTTAATTAGCTATTTGAATGTCTAGGTTTTTGGGAAAATTTCTCATCGTTTCTTAATTCTCTGAAATTTGAGTAATTACTTTTTCTAAACATGCTGTTTAAGAATTAATATATGTAAAACGTTTTGATTTCATTTTAGTCAATATACAGGGTGTTCGCAAAGTTGAACAACTATGCAGGGGCGGCTGGCCCTTAAGTGCTGCAGACCTGCAGAACTGCCAAAACTTTTGTCTTAACAGAAAAAAGCAGTAGTAATTTGATCATTATTTATTTTCCATGTTATCACACAAACAGAAACAATACCGGCAACGCTGCCCCCGCAAGACACGGCGTCGAGTGTGTTTTGTATTGCGAAAGCATTATAATCGACCAATTGTGTACTTGTCATTTTCGTCACTACCGCAGCGTAACATTATTCATGGGCCACTTGAAAAGGGTCTGTGCACTACTTCGACACAAGCCGCACGCGCTTGCTTTTGTCTCTCTACAAAATCAAATGCGCGATTAAGGCCCGTATCGTCAGTCGTCCCTACAATTGTAGGGCGCCTTTATTTATGGCCTTGATTGTCATAGTTTTCTACTTCTCCGTGTCAGCGCTCTATTTTGAGGTTATGTCACAAACATCAATTTGCATCAAATTGTGCTTGGTTTTGAGTTATATCATGTTTTATCAGCCTGAAATTTCCTACAATTTAAAAGGAAAACAAATCTTCACAATAGGAGAGCGCTGACGTTGACACGGGACAAGTGTAATCTAGAAATTTGTGAAGGAGAGAAAGAAGTATGACAATCAAGGAGGCCATAAACGCGTCCTACAATTGTAGGGTCGACTGACGATACGGGCATTAAGCATAAGCATGTGCTGCACGTTATACAGATCCGTACAGATCTAATGCGAAGTACGATATCTGATTGGTAGGTCGGTGCTCGGTATAAAATTTTGCGGAGCATTTGAATTGGCGCTACGGGGTCACGACGAAACCGAGAGCTCCCAAAACCCGGGATATTTCGTGGACTGATTAATTTTTCTGCTGAGCTTGATACAACGTTAAAAAAATGCTTCAATATTTAAAGGAACTTCGAAAGAAATACAAAACGATCTACTGGATTGTATTCTTGAAGTTTGTCATGAAGAAATAATAAAACATATTAACAGAGCCTCGTATTTGGCGATAATAGCATATGAAACAACGGACATTTCGGGGAAACCCAACTGGTAACAATCTTCACATACGTATTTAACAGCGAACCAGTAGAACGTTTTTGGAATTATATGAATCCCGAAAAATGTGAAGCTGATACTCTCACAAGACATACATATTTTGAGCGTTGTAGATCCATTAATAGGAAATTTCCCTAACAAACTGATTTCACAAAGCTATGATGGAGCCGCAGTAATGAGCGGACATAATGCTGGAGTACAGGCACAAATTAAACAAAGATATCCATTAGCTCACTATGTGCATCTCCATGCGCATCATCAGATTTGAAAGATATTCCGGGATTTTTTAATAATTCTCCTCAACGCGTAGAGGTACTGAACAGAATTGTGGGGAAAAATTCTCCAAGGAGCAACAACTAGTTGGAATTTTAATATTCGAACAATAAACGTAGTGTTTGAGAACAGAGAATCACTCATTGAATGCAAGTAAGAAATAGAAGAAAATTTCACTAATGTAACCGTTTGCAAGGCAGCTTGCGGTATTCGCCGTATGTTAAACGATTCTGTTTTCGTGTTTTGGTTGACATTTTTTCATCATGTCATGCCTCACGTCGACATCTTGTCCAACCAGTTGCAGAAGAGAAAAACCGAGCCAGCGCAAATTAAAACGATATCGATAATTTTGAAAAATGTATTGTCGATGTGGGAAATAAAATTGATGACATAATAAATGAAGCCAA